CTAAAGACAGATATCCGAGAGAAAATGCAATAATTCTTTGAAAGTTTCCTTCCGTCTTAAAGAGCGTTTTCTCCGCGAGCGATATTACATACTCTCTCTCTCTCTCTCTCTTGCTCTCTCTTTAAAATTCTGTTTTTTATAATCTTGTTGTTATTATTTTTTAAACTTTAAGTACTAACTACCGCTCAACAAATTATTATTACAATAATGGTAAATAATGCTGATATCACGTAGTGCAGTGCGCTTGAAACAACAACTTTAATATCGTATTACATCCGCTGTTGGAAAACTCCGAGTAATTCCGTTTTGCTTGGTGCACTCATACCGCTACAGCTTTATTCTCACTTATAAGTTAACTAATTCCCTTTCAACGTTATTTAACTGGAATAACTGTTATTATGTTTAATTACAACGTGGACGCGAAAATACTCTTTTGACGTCGGTCATTTCTCGTTTATCTTATATCTATAATAAATGAAACGTTGCCAGGAACAAAAGGAACGTTGGAGCTATCAGAAGTTGAAACAACGCTTTATCTTGAAAATATTAAAAGAACTAGATATTTCGATTCGAAGGTTGTCGTTGCGTCATTAAGTTTTCTTCTGGTTTCTGATTGATCCGTAGATGCGGACTGCTTGTTTGAAAATTGCATTGTTATCGTACAACTGCAAACTTATGGGAATTGTCGCAGAGCAATATATACCCCACGGGGGATATAACAATGTTTGTATTTTACCACTGGACGCGTTTGTATCTGCGGCCGAGTGCGCTGAGGTAACAACTTCGTGCTAATCCTGAAATGCATACCGCACCCTATTAGTGTTCGATATTTATCTACATTCCTTTACTGACTTATTGTATTGGGCAGAATCCAATTTGCTTTAACGGTTTCCCTCTAGTTGACTTTAAATACGAAGGTGTCTTGTATCGGCGTTCTAATCTATGTGTGCGCACAATATCTATGGATTTGGTATACGCCAGCCGATAGTAATTGTTACGCTTCGCGCCAAAGAGATTAATTTTATTTGCGTAATTAATTGATAATTATTTTTCTAAATTAATTATTTAGAATTTTTTGGAATTATTAGAGAAGCATTCGAATTTCAATTTTTATGTAATATTTGTTTCAATTTACTACGACTTTTCTGTGTAAAGATATTGATAATTATTAATCCACGACGCGATTACATCTCGAGTGATTCTGATTTAAGAATCTGCAGTCATGTAAGCCTTGTTCGACCTACCACTATTGATCAGCTGATCAGGTGCGCACATTAGCGTACTAATATAATAATTATGTATATCCTAAACAGCTTATGTGTATCATATATATAAGCGAGTCATGTTTATTCATGAATAGTGTACGCGTTGGATTTTCAAAATGTTATAATTCAATGAAAAATTGATGTATCGACATATGCCAAAAACAGATCTTCTATTTCCGCGGATATTTACGCTCAAAGCATACGCTTTTATTATGGCATGCATTTATTATTAACACACACAACATTTATGTGAAATAAAAAATGATAAATTATAATATATAGATTTTATTTGACAATTATAAAATTATTTAGTGGTAAATAATATTTATTTAGTTAGGATTAGTAGCAGATTTAGAATTATTTCACGTTCTTGACTTCTTGCCGTGCTGAAAGAGCACTATAGTGCTGCTCAGTAGAACAAACTATATTATATTCTATTGTCTACCACTAAACGTGAATAAAGCCGTGTTATAGAGGTAGCTCTTCAATAACGTTAATTAATTTAAATGTAAATGAATTTGGTGCAAATGTTGAAATGATGAAATTGCGACGCTGAAATGGAAGAATTGTTAAATATTATGATTTTTAATTTAGTTTTAAATCAAAAGCACATTTTAAATGTACTTTAAATGAGAAGTCTGATGGAAAACGAAGCTTTTCACTCTGAAAAGTAATAGTTTTCATTGCTTTCACTTAATACTCAGCTATATACTCAGTGGACTTCAGAGTCCTGTATAGAAAATTCACAATATCATTGTTCTAAAAAGTCACGCAGCTCTTTTCAAGCCTCATTGTTCAGCGGAACTATACACTCTTTCTCTAAAATAAAGGGTCATCCGCTTCTCGATCTCGTGAAAAAAACGCTTTTGTCGATTAAGGAACAAGGGTAGCTTGATGCCGGCTTGATGCCGTTTTTATGCGGCACTTTACTGCGTGTAACGCTTTATTGCACAATGTTCCGATGCAATAACCAAGGTTTGCTGTCGACGTGTGGAATCCTTTTAGCTCTAGCGATCGTCAACAAATATTCATCTATTTTCGCGATGAACGGAAAACGCTGAAGAAATAAAACTGACAATTTCTCAAGATTGTCGCGGCAAATTGTTCGACACGAAATGAAAACTGTCGGTATAAAGCGCTAGCAATACTCGTCAAAGAAAGAAGGAAAACTTTAATATGTATAGGTTAATATCTTTGCGGTTTTACATCAAAATGTAAATCTACATGAAATATAACGGTACCATTTATAGAAGAGACTCAGACGAGTCTTTTCTATGAATGTGTCGTTATATTTGACACGCACGTGACGATTTCTACTCAAAAAGATTATGCGAATAAAGGGATCCTTTCTAAGGGACAGATTTCGTAAAATATTTCCTTTTTATGATAGACTTTATGGACTTTATGGACTATCGCAAAAACGTTCAAATGTGTCAGCAATCTTTGATTTACTGCGTATAAATTTTCTCGAAAACATTTGGACTTTTTTCTTTAATGCCGATAATAATTTATTATTACATTTGATTCATAAAATTACATCCTATTTTCTCTCTGAAATATAGGACAATCTTCCTAGGATTTTTTTTATTCTACCATTGTTCTATTTTTGCGTTTCACATTTTTCTGGTTTCGCATCTGTACAAGTCTTACTGAAGCATTCCAATTTGCAGTTTTCTCTGTACCGATAAGAGCTGCGATGATAAGGGGATAAGGACAACCGTTCGAGATAGCTGCTTACTCGTAAATACGTAGTTTTCTTAAGAAAATGAAAAACAGGAAGAAAACGTGGATATTTTCGCGAAATACATTAGATTAATTAATTATTTAATAATATTAGCTATCATTAAAATATCTTGTGCGGAATTCACAACGTTGCGGAATTCACAACGTTGTACATCGGAGTATTAATTAGGAGAAAGACGAGAACAACTTTGTATAGAAACACTTGAATTATCTTCGTGTATGAGTCTCTTCGCAAAAGCCGGTCTTGCTTATTATCTATTATCCAACCAACTCACGTCATGCCGGCCGACTTTACATAATGGAATCGAGTTGATTTCAGCACATAATAAATTTACCTAACAACGCCGGTTATTTTTAATCAAAGGAAGTAATATCCGAGTAGGCGACTAAAAATTACATCATACGCATACATCGCGGCCTGGAAATAACGTTATAAGAATAAAACAGCGTGTAATAATACTGCGCAAATTTCACGTATAGCATAACATAAAAACCGTGAAGCCAATAATGTGTATGAATAAATGTGCGTTGATCTCCTGAATTTTTTCTATCGCGCATGTACTTTGTTACTTCAAGGTTGCAGTTTTTTGCAACGAAGACAAAAAAGACAACTACTTTGCGGCTCCATTAAATTTCGCGCTTCGCTTAAGCGCTGCGATTATCTCGCCTTCCGTCGCCGTCGCTTATGAGGGAATAAAGCACAAGAAAACACATTCAAACACGCACTGAGAGGGAGAGAGAGAGAAAGAGACAGATTGAAAGAGAGAAAGGAGGATCTCAAATGTAATTTCCCGCGTGCTCTTCACGCACATCACCGCTTTCGCGTTGTCAACACAAATATCTCATTCCTTATCCGCTCTACCGAGCTTTTAGCGGCAAACGGGTTGCCATTCTGAAATATGGGACATTCCGGATTTGTCGGCGATTTTTTTCTCTTCAACGAACAAGTGGCTATTATACCGGAATGTTGGGAATTGCCGTAAGAAGTCGAATCACGAAGCCGAAGCAGTCTTCGACTCTTTCAGCGGACTTATTTAGCGATCGCGGTACGTGACTACGGACTATAACGTCATTCAATCCCGGCAGGATGTACGGAACGATTGCTAGTCCTTTCTTTAACGGTAATTCCCTTAATAGTTGTAATATAGCAAGTGCAGTTATATTAGCTGCGTTCATTATTTACGGAGCCGCAGTCACGGTCGATAGGTTCTACTTTTTCATATTAATCGCGCACGCTTGAGAAAAATATTTCGTGAAACTTACGCGTGACCGACATAATCGAAGGATCTCGAAAAGAACACAAGAGGGTCTGGCGGAACGAATGATTGATGACATTTTAATCGTGCGTTATCGAGGCCTCTAATATATTTAAATGCGTGACTTATGTTCTGCTGGAAGCAGACAAGTATGCGAAATTCCAGCGGATTCCGGAGACGCTTTATCAAGCGGCGTATTTATAATATTTAGCGCTAAACCGAAATGTCGAAACTGCATATACGATGCGAAAGTGCAAACGAATGTCGCCAGTTACACTATCGCGACCGTTTATCCGCATGAAATCGTGAACGGAAAAGCGTAACCAATATATCAAACGTAGCCAAGCGTAGCCTTTGAATAATGCACGAGAATGAGTAATGCGCGAGAGGAGAAGCACATTTTCAGTACTACTGGCATTCTTTTTTTTTTGGTACTATTTGCATTCCACAAGATGCATGCATTACTATCTTTCATTCTCGCCTCACCAACGCAATGCGACATTTTTCATGTAAATCTGCTTGCCAAAATAATAGATGCAGATCTCTCTCGCTCGATGGTATCTTTTATTACAATATTTTTAATCCTTTATTTGTTGGGGACAATTAATTAATTTAATTATTTTAATATCATCAAAGTTGCACTAAAAGTAAATTTATAATACAATTTTAATATTATAATATTTAATATTATGATATAACATTTTAATTAACTCATGTTTGTTTGCACGAAAGCTGTTACATCAGAGAATATCTCATTGTGGAGGGAAGCGATCGACCCAAAAGATATCGGCATGTCGCGACTTCACCCAACAAACGTTACGACACCAATGGAAGCGGTATGTACATACATATATCCGAAAAAAAAATGATATATAAAAGTTTAATTAAAAAGACTTAATTGTCACTGTCATTAATATTTGATTTTGACAGCTCAGCGATTAATGAGATCTGCTAAATTCCCGGATATTTGTTTACAGGTGACGTGACAAAGATTGAGGTGGTGCTCGAGGAGGCACCAGATGCTGTCATTGTTGGGTCCATGTCATCGGAATTGGAGGCTACCACCGAACTCAATTCGACCTTTCCCGACGGTAAGTCGAATAATTTCATCTAATCCGGGTGACTGTAATCCCTGTTTATTCGCGACCGCGCCGTGTTTCATGATATTATTTGTCTAATCTTGTCAAGCGAGATATGAAAGCGTAACTTTCACTCTAAGAAGCACAAAAGAATTTTTCTGCTTTTTTTTCTCTCTCATGTAATTAAAATAGCTCTTATTTGGTTTTTGACAAAATATCAAATCGGCATATTTGTCGAGTAAATATATTTGTGGTACGATTATTTTCCGAACACGGCGAAGTTTTATTTTTGATATGAGTTTTATTAGTAATGCGATATCGAACGGCAAACAGCATCGAAAAGAAGCACCACTGTCGAGAGAAAAAAGAAGCGATGAAAAGTTTGACTTCTTTCAAATATTGATCACGTACTTGCGATGTTTCAATTTCGATGAATCCTTCGGGGAGTTTGTGGAGAGGCCGCGTAGTTTCTTGCGTACTTTCGTTAAATTTTTGATGCGACAATTTTTTTCTTTGATTTCTGTCGTGACATAGATAAGGAAATAAAACTCATGGAATAACGCGTTGTTTTAATGTTTATCTTTGCAAACGATCGCTTCGCACGTCGATACAAATATCACCTTCATCAATCAACGGAATATTATTCTCAGCGGATTACTTCGTATATCACGTGAAATCCATGAAAACTTTGCGTCTGCGAATAGAAACGAAATAACGTTCCAACAGCAAATGCGCAGCGCGTTACACGGCTGAATAATTAATAATTGTGAAACGCGCATTGCGTATATTTTCGCGATACACCGAGTTTTCGCTAACTGCATCGGACATTAATCCGACGTAGTTTAAGCACATTTCATGGTGTCTCTCCATTACGGTTACGTAAAGCTATAAACGGATGTCTATTTTCCGGCTTAACGACACATGAAAAGAAGATGCTCGAGATTTTGCGAAAAGTCGTTGGTGACAGAAGATCGATCGTGTCATTTTTCTTTAAAGATGGTGAAAAGTAAAGAAATATAAATTTTGAGAGGTCTTGATAATCCGTTTGCGCTATAACATGTAAAATGTTCAGAGTTTTGTAATATATTTTCTCTTTTTCAAAGTTATTTGATTCAACTCTTAAATTCTTGAGCATGCAGAGATGAGAGAACGCATGAAAAATCCCGTCGCCCGACGACGTAGAAGAGAGATTTAGAGAAAATATAAATTATATGTATGAAATGTCGCGTGCACCTATATTTTCTACGTGCAATGCACGAGTGCAATGCGAATATAATGGAATCTGTCTAGTTCCTCTTTTCGTTTTGATTTTCTACGTGATAGCTCGCGAAGTAGAAGTTCTCTGCCCGGAAGGTTCGATCCAGACGCGGTCATGGATATCAATTTATCAGTCCGATCGTTTGCGAAGGTACTACGAAACATCGTTAGATAGCATTGTAGCATCGCCAACAAAGGTTCACGTATGAGTGAACATCGAATTGTGCGATACTCCTGAGCGATATTTCCTGGCTTTATTTTCTCTGCCATAGTCACCGTGTAGTTAGCTGACAGATCAAAGGATACGTATGGAAAATAGGTCATATTAACGTGCGATGAATATTAAAATCCAACTTCCAGGATAACCTTAAAAGATGATTTCAATAACTTTATTAAATATCCGCCGTCTCTTTTACAACGCTAATCAGTACTTTTTTAATGCAAGTCAATAATAACTTTATCCTTCGGTCGTTAAGCTTTATGTACGTTTTACCGTGAATAAAACACGTGAGGTGATTTGATAAGGGATTGCAGGAACCGGTGCGGTAGTGGTGCGAGCGGAAGAGGCCCTGATCGTCGTTTTTGTCCTGATTCTGTGGGTGGCTGCCATCGCTTTGTTCTTCAATCGATGGGGCAAGATCCGCATGCTCGAGCCATATCAGCCGAAATTTCAGCAACAACACAGACCAAGCTGCACGATAGTTGATCCAAGCCCACTTCAGGTAAGTGCATCCGTGCACGGTCGCTGATCACCTCGTCTCCCTGCAAACTCTCTTATTCCGCATAGATAGTTTCTATAGAGAGTACTTGTGTTGGAACATCTGTTGGCACACGGTTACATCGTCGGATTAGCATAATGCAGCTGATTTGTGCAAACGTGTGACGTATACAGTTCCTCGTGTGTCAAACAGCGTTATACACGACACCGCTTTATCACGACATGTATCTAAAGATGTTATCGATACATTGCGACTGATGTATCATCGAGTAAGGATAAATCAATAGCATTTTTACTTAATATTGGTACAATTTAATTATTTAACACGCTATTTCGTCAGAGTTCGATACCAAAAAGAAATTAATTAATCACGCCGAGCTTATTTTAGCGACAAATTCTGACATCGTGGTTGATCTGATATTTTTCTTTTAATTGCTTAATGCTTGTTTTTTGCAAAATCAATATAATCACGCACAGCGTATTAATATTGTAGCGGATTATTTAATTAAATTGAAATATTACAAAGCTTCTTTGTGATGCGTAAATCAGGCGATGAATTCTGCAAAATAAAACAGGCAATTAGATTGGAATTAAATTTCCCGATGTAGACGATAGACGATAGCACGAGAGAACTCTGATTATTTCTCATTTAATTACCAAAATAATGCCCAGCGTTTTGGTTGTTGTAGCATACCGCCGGAGGGTAAGCTCGGCACGTTAAACCTCCATCGTTGGAGGAAATTTGCAAACTCGCGAGGCCGACGTAATAAGCATGGCGAACCTGCATATAATATGTATATTATGCATGCTGGTTACTAATACATATGCCATATATACCGCGTGTCCCAAAACGCATTGTTATAGTTTAAAGAAGCTAATTCAAACTTTTTGCAATTTGCTTTTAATCTACTCTGTGGAGAATAATGTATCGCAAAGTGAACGATCGTTCACTAGCGAGTCTTTATTCAATTTCTTCAGGATGACACATCGCTCCCGGTAAAGTTTACAATCTAATTTATACATACATGCACGATGCTCCATATATCATCGCATAAACAAGCAATAGTTTGGACGTGATATTACTGGCACGAGCCTACGCAAGAAATATCGCGGTTTCCATGCGCCACGCGCGAGTCACGTAGGCGATAAACCTTCGGTCTACGTAGACTCAACATATGCGGGTATAAATTCACTCTTTATCTTTCATCGGGACCTTATGATAATCCGGTTTCAGCCTCAAATCGTGCCATTTTTATGGATCGAGTCAGGGTCGCCGTAAATCCTTATTTGATACGGACATTGCACAGAAAGAGACGAATAAAAGAAGACGTTCATTGTAAGTTAACTTACAATGAACGTCTTCTAATTAAAATTTTAAATCATTGAGAAATGAGAAATTAAAGTCCAAAATGTTCATTTCCTATTGTTAAAAAATATTTTTTTTTGGGAGACAGTAAAAAATTCTGTTCTGCTGTGTCGATGGCGGTCTTGAATCGAGTGCAGAATTAGAAAATCAAATTCATCGATATTCTCATTCATTTCTGATTCCAACCGCGCGTTTTAAGAACTCCTAAATCTTGTAGTATCCGCATTGAATAAACTGTCGAATGCATTTTTATGCCATCATACTTATTTATGGATGAATGCAAAAGAAGAGCAAAGATTTAATGCCGTGTGTCTGCGATGAATTGTTTCCCGAATGTGTTTTGCCGAACCGGGCGCTTTTCATCGCGATCACATGCGAATAACGTATATTCGATAGTCAATCTTGTCAGTCCAGATAACTATATATATTTCATGATTTTCGTTATACAAAGGAGACCTACGCGCGAACATACAGCAATTTATCATTGAAAGCGCTCTGGGACTGCTCGATCTTCGCGGATGCTATCGATCGACTGCGTCGTTGCTTGCTAACAGCATAATAGATATCCATGTTTGACGGGCCATGGGATGTAAACGCGACTCTAAATCGAATGGCTCATATTTTGCGTTTCGTGTTTCGAAACGAAAATATATATACAATATGCCGTCTGATAAAATATATTTGTTTTAGTTGTCATGAAAACGCGTAAATAAAATTTGGTTTAAATACCGAAGCAAAATATCTTTTATTTATATTGGAATTAAATTCACAGTTCTGTGGATTTTAGCTGACGAGTGTAAATGTGTCGTATTTACTTGTATGAAATTTTCATATAGTTGTATCGATATATATTTTATTATTGATACGGCTTGAAAAAGATTTTCCGGGCGAACTACGCGCCGTGTCTGCAATCAGTTTTTTTTACGCCTGTAGGATGCATTAAATGTTTCGCGATATCAGTCGTAGGTCGGTACTGGATTTATCTGTACAAAGGAATTCAAATCACGATGTGAGTGAGAAACCAACAAAATAGGTGCTCAACGGGGTTATCTGAAGGACCGAATCTCGTCGCGTTGCGTGAATCGAATCGTCGCGACTAAATTTTCGCCAACACTCGCGATAACGTCATTCGCTAAATTTTATTTTTTGATATAGTATTTCGTCATTGTATTTTTTATTCCACTTAAACGTACTGCTGTAGAAAAATAGTGAAATAATCTCGGGTTTTGTTGTGAACGGAATAAAAGGTATATTAAATGTTTGCGCACGGTAACACGAAGGATTCCCGTCCGTACACACACGGATAGATGGGATGCACACACACAGCTTCGCGCGTTTCGCGTCTGTGAGTTTCGAGCAATTACTTTCAGATAGAAATCACCGTTCGCCAATATGTATTTCTATGTCCGAGGTAATTCAATCGTGGAAACGCTCGATTGCATTGACGTCCGCCATGTCAGAAACAGTTTCGGTTTCTATTAAACCGAAGATATCTTACAGTTGCGCATCGATCTTTGTAAACGAAATTTAAACTCAATCGGCTCGGAATTGTTTCCCGATTGTTTTTGAATATGAGCGAATGAACGCTTGGGCAAAATGCTCGTTGTTAAGACTGCGAAACGCGCGCGATTAACAGCGAAATCGAAACAATGATCGATAACAGCGAATTTAATGAGTACAACGATGCAGTGCGGTGTTAAATTACACTGCTGATGTTGCGCGGGGAAAAATCGAGGCCAGTCAACAATCTTACTCACAAGTCAATTGGAGCCGGTATTTTAATGAAATTACCCGAGTTGAAATTTTTAGCTTAGATTAAACCTACAAGTTTTGTCGAATTTGGAGAACCAATGTAAGCTTTAATTCATACATATAGATATAACATTACATTGGCTATTGCCCTCCTTTGATATTAAAAATTGTTACTTATTGCCGTTTTTTCCATGTGGAAGCTCAAAAGAGTACCTACTGAGAACCTCTAAAAAGGCTCCAGGTTAGGTTCTATAAATATGTATTTCTAGAAAATAAATATTCAAAATTACTTAATAATCTATTATCTCATATACTCTACTTGCATTTAATGTATGGATCTTGATTTCAATAAACAATATATTAATTATTATAATTTGCTTAACTGTAAATAGGCTACTATAAGCAAATATTATATAAATAATATTCACTTATCTCTTACATATCTATCTGCAGTTAAGTAAATTACATAATTAATGTATTGCGCTTATTGAAATTAAGATATGCATTAAATACAAATAAAGTAAATGTGGTAATAGAATATTAAATAATTTTGAATTATAGGTCAAATATGTAATAAAATATTAAATAAAATTTTGAATTTCAATTGTTTTTTGTTTATTCGAATAAATTTTTAGTTATTTATAATACTAAATATAATAGAGTTGCACTTAATTTTTAAAAATATTTTTAACTATTTATTTGTTATTATTTATTTTATATTATAACATTTATTATATTAATCTGAAATAATAGAAATTGAACTCAATTATAGATTAAATATTAATATTTTTATTGCTAGAAATTTCGATAAGATTTGGAGATTCAAAAGAGGTAGGAGTTGTAAGAACGAAAATAAGAATTGTATATTTAATATCAATAAAAATAAGGGTTTTCTAGGACAACAAGATTAAAGAAAGGCCAAAAGAAGACATAACACTTTCAAGATAGAACTTGTAGGTCAAGGAACATTATTAGAGGCACAAATAACCATGTATGAGGTTTATAGTAGGTTTTAAATTTCGACTCGGGATAGATGAAAACTTTCTGCGAGATACTTCACGTAACTCGATTTTGCTGTGCCGCTCACGAACTATCATTCCGAATGTTCTTGATTAGTAAGACTTCGTTCTCGACGCGGTCGCAAGAGGCACTCGAATTTCGCAAGATCGTCGATCGCAGAACGGAATCCAGTTTGTACGACGCTCAGGTATCGCGGTGAGTCTTGCAAGGGATTTTCGAATATTTGATTCAATAATTTCGAAAGGGAATTGATCGCTCGCTTGCGGTATCGGATGCGATTGGATTTACTATTGTTCTCTAAATTGTTTGAGTGTACTCGATGAGAATCTCCGAGGGATTACAGCCTGCGGTTAGAGGCTCTAGAAGGAAGTTCGTGTACGTTGCATGCACTCAAAGTGGCATATTAACACCTTGCTGACTATCTGGCATGCATATTCCAAGCTCTGTGCTAACAAATACCTTTCCAAAGCAAATTCCCATAAATCGTCGAATCTCTCTACGGATGTATGTACATATTTACATTTATAGATCTCTAAATTATTGGTGTTAATTTCACTGATTCGTGGAGCCATAAAATACACCCAGTTTGATAAATTTACGTATTTATATAATTGGATTGAAATTAATAATTAATATTGATTCGAAAAGAGAACAGGAAAAAAGTTAAAAGTCAAAAGTGCGAACACTCAAAAAAATGATCTTGCAATAATAGCTAAAATTTTCTAGGTGTAAAAAATTAACTAAAACAGATAAATGATTAGCAACTGTTGTGATATTGCATATGTAATTACTTAATCAGTTTAGATGACAGAAACAGAATATATATCTGTATTGTTTGTGAACTTTAAAAAGAAAGTTTCTCTAAAGCGCCTATCTATATAAGATCAATCACGTGTTAGATCATGCAATGAATAACATTTAGCAATGGTACCTAAATTTTTCAGAAGTTATTGCTAGAACATTACTGCTATAAATTCTGTATGTGACAAACAATGTTTTCACAGATACGAAAAATAGCGATACATTCTTGTTGCGATATCTAGAAATCTAACTACATCAGCAAAATATTTTTTTGAGTGAATGTCGAGACGCAAAGGATATTACAAATTAAAGCAGAATTAAAAAAGTTATTTTTTGTAAAAGTTTTAATTTGTGATATCTATTTTTTCGCGCCTTGACATTTACGTTTTCGATTCACAGCCGCCCTTTTTCCGTTACTTTTTTATTTGTTAAGAACAATTATTTTTAATCTGTGAAAATTTATATCACAGTTCACAATCTGCATAAGATGAGATAATTATGTTAATGATTGCGAATGACGACTGATATCACATGCAATATTCACGAGAACATCTGAGTAACGAAACAATATGCTAAACTGCGCACGCTTGCGCACGTGAAATCTGCAATTTATCATTCTTGAGGCGGTATGCGCTCCGTATACGATTACGATCAAGCTGCTGAAGCAATGTCACACTATATTGTTGAAATGCTAATTTCGTAGATAGATCGTAGGTAGATCGCGCACACTTTCGTTCGGAAAACATTCTCGTTTTATTCTCGATACGAATATTCTGCTCGCATCCGTAATCCGACGCAACCGCATTAAACGATATCGCTGTCTCGCGCATTTCATCTCATGATTGATGAGGAAGCTACGAGAGAAATAAGCCGCGGACGAGAGCTCGCGCACGACTTTCGACCGTACGAGCGAGTTAATTTTGCACAAGTACTTTCCTGTCAAGCAGTTGTAGTAGCACGGTGTTGTGACCTATTAAAAGAGAGGCGATAAAAATAAAACGCAAGCATAATGTAATCGAAGCGCGGAGCGACAATAGTGTAGTTTTTTGCACTTTGCAATTCATCGCTGCAATAACTGTCACGATCGTGCGATAATTCGCGATAATCCAGCGGCGTGTTCGCGAGTGCATCGCCCCTAAGCGGTGAAATGATCGAAAATCACGCGCGAAGTTAATGACGATGAATGGCCTGTCCGTCCCAGATAAATTGGGAAAGACATTTAACGGATTTCGGCGCGTCCTCGGCACTTCAATCGGACATCTCGTACGCCCCGCGTCGAACATTCTCCGATAATTAGGACCGTGGGAATTCATTCCCAAGCATCCAGTCGTATAACTCGAGAGTCGAGTAATTAGTTCCCGACGGGTCGTTCCGCTACGGATGAAACTGTATCTCCCACGACGTTTCGTGCAGCTCCCTCCGTCGCCGATTGCAGAATTATGAGATGAAATTTGTACAGAGTGTCTCGCTGCTATCATCATCTCGCTGCGTTACGACGTTTTATCAGCGAACTTAATTTTGTTTGTTGAGCACGCTCTGCATCGAATTACTCTCATCGCCGGGGATCTTAAATTGAACGGAGCGCCGTAGAGTACGAGTCTCTCCATCCGCTCTTGCATAATACATGTAAATGCAGCGTCATCCTTGCCCTTTCAGCTCGGGGCACCGTTCCGTAATCTCGGTAGATGCAGCGCCCGTCGTGTCTTATAAAACGCAACGCGATATCAGCGGTGCTCGGTGTCTAGGATAACGTACTCGCGGCTCACAATGAAAATCGCGTGTAGATATGAGTAGCGCGAGCGTGTGTATCGCAAAAGTCATCCCGGTTGCGCTTTTCAGCCGCGCAGTTTAGCTGTAGAACGCGCTAGCCCGAACTTTTCTTAGGCGTCCTATTTGCGTCCCCCGGGAAAATTTTGTAAAGCAATCTTCTCTCCGTTATAATAGAATTCAATAGAATGACGTTAAAGCCCCATTCCGGTCTTGATGTTGCGCGAGCGTACTTCGATCGCGCCGGTCTGCGAGAAAACTTCATTTGGGAAGGAACAACATTGTCCCGGCTGGCCGCAAGGCTAACGCGCTTTGCAAAACAAATTCCCCTCTCGTTATCACAACAATACTGTCACGGCCATTAAACTGTGTCCCCGACGCATTGCGTCTACTAGAGAATCGTGTCGACATACGCGACACAACATGCTTCCGTATATCGGCTCACGTTTCCCCGACACATTTCCACCGAGAGACAATCCAGCCATGCGTCTTCTCGTATATCTGTGATTTAAATGTTTCCCTGGGAATACCGTCATGGTCGAGCCAACATTTGCCATGAATATATAAACCGCTTGAGAGTAACATGTTCCATTAAAAAAATACAATGTTGTTCAGTATTCTCAGTTAGAAAAAAAAACACAAAGGCAGAGTTACGATTCTCACTCATTCAATATTCTATTTATATATAAATATATATACAATATATATATAAATATATATATATTTACAATTTAGTGGGAAATTACATTTAATCGCGCATATAATTACTTCCCGGAAACTTAATTATAAAATCTATAATCTACTGTATCATTAAGAATCTATAATTACACCAAGAATTTCTTTGTCATTTGAGATATCATTAGTGATCATACTCGATTGAACGTTATAATTAATATCTCTTTTTTTTTTTTAACAGAATTGTACAAAATCGATGAAAATAATAGTTTGTACGTAGTTCCGCATCACGTCCGCATTTTTGTCCGCTTTAAGTGTAACCCGCTCTATAAATGTAATTAACGATATCGTAAAGCAAGTCTCAGCGAAATCGCGAGGCGTAAACAGACCACTCGAGGATTCGCCGGGATTTTCCTCTTGTTTGCAGCACCGAAGCTACTCGAAGTTCAACATCCACTGCCTGGAGCACCCGGTGCACCAGATGAGCTGCGGCTCGGCGGGCGTGCCGGTCGCCCGGCTGCGCCAGAACAGCGTGTTCGTGGGTTCGAGCACGTCGTTGCTGCCGACCAGCCAGGAGACGCCGAGGCGCGCCAAGAGCGCGTTCGATCTGCAGTCGCTGGTGCACGCGGAGGGCGCGGGGATGCAGAACGAGGACGAGGAACGCGACGGCGACACGCTGAGGACTCTCAGATCCATCGGCGAGTCGTCGCGTCTGCTGCAGCGCGAACGCCGTCAGAGCACCTATCACTTCGACCGGATGGACGTGCTGGCGCGACCGACGCAGCGCGAGCGCGGCATGAGCATCTGCCAATTTGACAGGACGGACGTTCCGACCAGGTCGTTGCAGAGGGACCGTGGCATGAGCATTTGCCACTTCGATCGGATGGACGTCCTGGCCAGGCCGCTGCAGCGGGATCGCGGCATGAGTATCTGCCACTTCGACCGGACGGATGTTCTAGCGAGGCCGCAGCGCGATCGCGGCAACAGCATCTGTCACTTCGACCGAACGGAGGTGCTGGCGAGACCGACGTTTCCGCCCGGCAAATGCCTGCTACGGGAGCGGCGCGTCAGCGTGTGCAATTTTATGGATAGAAGCGAGGAGCCGTTGGGCGGCAGAAGCTTCTTGCAGCGGAACAAGCGATTCAGCGTCAGCAACGTTGACAAAATCGAGACGCTGGGGAAATGCGTGTCGTCCAGAGACTTCCGCGGCAGCATCAGCAACATGGCGGAGAACAAGCAGGACAGCCTGACGAAGTGCGGCGCGATTAGGGAGAGGAACAACTCCGTGAGTCACCACTTCGATCGACCGTCTTGCAGCAAGACGCCCGACGTCGTGCTCGGATACAAAGCGACGTGCGTTTAATCGCGGATCCCTTCCGGGAAGTTTCGCCAGCACGCAGGAAACGGCGCCGTAACGTTCTCAACTATGGTCCAGGATTTCCTTCGGATGAAACTTCGGCTGTGAGACCCTTTGCCTCGATATTGATCTTTACTTCTTATATTCTTTCTTTTATGAATTTCTTAAAAGTACTGGTTTTAAGCGTCAGCAATCCTCTTATCGGAGATCTTTACGAAGGCTGCGATAACTATCGTCGTTCTATCACAGGACGTTAGAAGCATTCCTCGAGACGTCGTTTCGGGCTTGCTTCGCGTCTTGTCACAAATGAGGGAATCTCTGGTCGCAGTCAGAGAGACGTTTTCGCGTCTATTTCCTGCGCGCGTGAAATTAAACGCGTCGTACCTTTAAATGCGCGCCGGAAATTAGAGGCGCGTCTCGCGTCGCTGGCGACACGCAGCGAAAGCGCGAACGTTAAAAGGTGTTTTTTTTTTTCGGTGGAACTTTTATTTTTTTTTCCTGCTTTCCTTTTATTTGCCGCGAGCTAAATGTAGTAACAAAACTATCCACCGCACCTTGATATGATTTGCTTCATGAATGATACATGACTGGTATTCCGATAAATTCGCGCCCGGGTAACGCGGTTAAATTTCTGTTCGTTGCACGACGACTTGTTAGCGGTACATTCGAGAATTTTAAGTCGAACAATGAAGCCGTAACACGCGGGGGAATATATCGTGAATGCAGATCGTGTCCGGTTTCCATAACGAGCAATAACGCGAGAAAGTGTGAAATATTACGATCGCGCGAACTAGACAGCGATTTTACAGAATACGACGTAGTTTGCCGGAATTTTTAATCACAATCTTCGACCACGAGCTTTGACGAGCGGAGTATAATTATTCCCGCGGAAGAGAAACCGAAGCTTTAAGATCCCCGATCTATTAACTCTCTTCTGCTATCTCTCTCTTTCTATATCTATCTATACTCTCGTAGATATAATTATAGACGGAAATTTTCTCCATTTTTCTCCCTCTTTCTCTCTCTCTCTCTTCTTTCTCCTCGAGACGCAATCCGTTCGCAGGAGCGAATCGTAGATATTACTCTATTCTTCGGAGACGAGGTCTCGTAGCACCTCCTCTTCTAAACGTACGTACGGGCTCTCGCAAATTGTCTGTACACGAAAAGCAGCGTAATTCGGTAGACGCCACGTCACCGGCATGCTCGATCGTTCGATCTGCAGAATCTGTCAACGCCATCGAGAATCAGCACGACGAAAGAACGACACACACACGCTCAGGGATTATTTAAAATCTTCATACTCGTCGGAGAATAGTTTGTCGCTCTAGCACGGAGTTCATCGAATGCGCGTTTAGTTTCCCATTACAATTAAATGTCGTTAACAGAGCCTATTAATTTAGCGGATATCGAATGCATAAGATATATCAAACGTATCGATTGATTTGTTAATTGAGCTTCGTAGCCATTTTGATGCGTGTGATATATGATACCCATTTGCGACCATACGTTTACGGTTAACGCGTAACAGTCATTAAAATTTCATTAAAGCGTAAATTGATCCTGATTTGATCCTGCTGCTCGGTTTCGCGGAAATGTCACGATTCTCTGTGCAGTTGATGTTATCGTAAAGTACAAAAGCGTTCAAAAATCCATATTATTCTAAAAGCCATCGTATGCAATAGAGGAACTAATAATACTGTCATATCCACGAATATCCGTTACGATATAACGAAAAATGATAAACCTATTTTGAATAACTGATAGATTTATGAGACGATGCATACATACATACATATGCGCGAACTAACGTCAGATATTTTCGGAGAGCCTACTATTTTTATCTGTCGGGGTGAGCAGTTCTTAACGACATTATCTAGTCCTAGTTCCTTCGACGCTGAGAGAACATATGATACATGGTCTTCGGTGCTCTAGACAGTTTTTAGCGAGATTAATAATCGTGTAAGTGTTTGTAGCGCGTGCGAAATTAAGGGGACGATCTCTCACTGAGAGCCACTGGTATATATTATCTTTTTACAATTTCTGAGAGCCCTCGCTAAAGGAGAGAGAGTCGCGAAAAAAGAAAAGTAAAAGATATTGCCAGACTCAACGTGGGCGTTTCTCAATTTATTAAAGACCTTTGTCTGCTTTCTGATACTTCAATTAAAACTGCAACGAAGTCAGCGTATAAGAGGAAAGAAAAAATAAACATGTTTAATTTTAAGTAGCATAAAGTGGTCTTTAATAAAGTAAGACATTACTTGAGAATCTCGTGCGCATTTATATAAGAGTGGGAATCTCTTTGTTGATAAATATCACATTATTTTTATCGGCGTACATCACATCGTACAAATGAGGGGCTCGGCTTAATGGCATATTAATTTATGGAGAAAATGGCATAATTACCTTAATTAATACGCCGTTGTGCCGATCAAATTGAATGAAATGATATCAGAATGATATAATAATAACATTGTATATGATGTTGTAAAATGAAATCCTATTTTTCGCGATCAGAACGCGCATTATCTCTATTATCGGAGTTTTATCGAGATATTACTAGCTTATTGGTGTCAGACCGAAATTCTTAACAACGGGACCTTCTAATTAGTCATTAACGAAACGTAGAATAATGAGATATATACATATGTAGTCATATACAGACCAAATATAAGCTTTAAATTTGAGACTATATACCTATATTATAGTAAAGACTATTCATAGACTATATGTTAATTTCGTGATTTCACGCGTTTCAATGCAACGTTCGTACTTAAAACTTTCGACGATTCAGACTGTTCTAATCAAAACTATTTAAAAATTCTAAGAGTACGTGTATTTTTCATAGATGTCTGATAAGTACTAAAGTGTACAACCTGTGTATGTATTTTGTTTGCGAAACGAAATGAGTTGCATTTACTTTTGAACACTCGTCCAACTTATAATCGCACATTTATTTCAAATATTTAGATTGCCAAACAATTTTAAATTACACATTCAACAATTTTAATTGCAGTAATTATGTATGTATTGTTGATAATTTACTATGGATGTTTTTTGAGATTTTTTCGAGAATTTCTTCAAAAATATCGGACGTTTGTATAATTAGTTTCTATTTATTTTTGTGTTCTTATATCCAAAGATTTTAAAATACAATATCAAAGCGCTAGTATGAGTGAGAATAATGTTAAGCTGTAGATGTGGTATGGATTCATCATAAGGATGGACTAAGAGCCTTGATTCATCAAGAGTGACCTGTAAAATGGATAAATAATTTGGCATTTATTATAGTTAATGCTAACAAATTATTTATTATTTTGTAATCTGTGTCTGGCACATTTATTTCATTTAACCATTATATTTTAAATCGTTCGTTGTATCGCGCAATTGTGAACAGAAAATTAATTAATATGTATTATACAATCTGTTTTAAACCGTGTTCGTTGCATTATATGATGGTAAACAAACAGCTCAGATTAATTAATTTGCTACCGTGTACATTGGCTCGCATTATTCCAGTTGTTTTCGCAATCGTGTAATTTTTAGATTATACGTAGGTTTATAGTAGATTATAGTTTTGTGAATGTGTTAATGGATGACTTTTTTTACAATAAATATTATTTGAAACAATATCGGAATAAAGGCTTTTAATCGAATGTTTAATTTCAAACTCGATACAGCGCAAAAAATATCTCTTGTATTCTTTTACTTTGACGATATTTAGTAAATATTTTACTAAAAACACATTACACATAAACATTTTACTGAAACACATTAAGAGATGTGTCATGGTTACTAATACATTAATGCCGTGGATTAACCTACTTTCATTGTTATATGTGTATCCAAGGGACGCGTAATGACACACCAGACAAAGGGTGTCCGTGCTTCCATTGAACCCCCGTGGAAAATTGCCCGGTGGCTACCGCTCGTTGCACGATAAAGTGCAGTAACGGCGAACAAAATGCGCGAACTTCACGAAGTCAGTGGTCCTTCCACTAGCCGGAAATTTCCGTAAAAGCCCTCAATTCCGAAATACCCTGGCAGACCGTAGACTGTAGCTTATCGTGTGTGATGATTATTAGACTCATTATTCTTAAACGTCTGGATTTTGAAGGGGACGAAGCAAGGACGCTATTGCATCCGCAGTGTTCTTATTCAATTTATCGAATTTTAGAATTCAAGTGAACTATTTTCAAACTTTTTGCTTAATTGCTTTACGCTACTTTTATCTATTAATTAATTAATTTCTTTAGCTTTGAAAATTAAAGCGTTTGTAGATTATTTATTTTAAACAATTATCATATTTTAGGTTTAGCGCGCGTCCAAATTGTCAATCTAAACACTGTCTCTTTACATTAGCCTTACCATGATATGTCGACATCGATCGGACGTTGACGCGTCGATTACCTTTACGATCACACTAAACTGTTTGAACGCGAAGGAAACAAGCGCCACGAACTGTTTAATACGACCTATCAATATTATCGACAAAATGTCAATACCTCCAAATGACGCATGCGACATGGTTGTTCTTCTATAGCTTCAATCCGTCATACTTTTTCTTGTTTCCTTGTAAAATATCCTTTTGGGGCAACATTGCACATGCCATGCGTGACAAACGGAACTATAGCCAGTGCATTTTCGCTGCCTGCGAAACGCTCGTTGCTTCCGCGCAATTCAACGATTATGTCTTCTATAACCGGCACGGATATAAAAGAGAAATATTCAAATATGTATGTGTATGTGTGTGTGTAAATATTAAAAAAAAATTTATTAAATGTTACCAATATTAGTTTATTATTTTATTTGTTTATTTTTTAGCGTCTAGTTTTTATTAATCTTATTGCATAAATTATATGTAATAAGAATTAATGTTGTTTTTGCTATTAATGAAATTTTTTCTAAACTTTTCTCATTTTGATAAGAATGCATGTAGATGGAGGTCGGGTTTCTGGAGTCACGTTGGAAACTTTTATTCCTTTTATTTATCTCGGGAAATTTCACAAATATTTCACATTCCACGCTTAGCTAGATGGCACGGAACAGTAATAATGTGTCGTGCGATTATCATTATAGTTAACATTTTCGCAGAAATTCCTCCGCATTGAACAAAGCTCCAAGAATTTGCAATTTAATTCCGAAACAAAATAGTGAAGTGTTGCATTTAAAAAGCAACTTTTTTAAATAATAACTTAAATCTTTGATCTTACTTATTTTTTCAAATTGCATATTTTTTGCTAATTATTTGTATACTTAAAAAATGTTGTTAATAATGGAAGAATATATTTTACTATTATTTTATTGTATAAAAGTATAAATGTTTTATCGAGAATTAATCTTTCCACAGCCATTGGAAAGCTTTTTCAGATTCAATACATGATTTTAATGGAGTTGCACGCGCGTGCGACAAGGATTGAGGGATCGCAAGACCGCATGAACTTCCTGCAGAATCAGCATCGGCACATTCCACTTAGACTGTTGCTTTTTCTTATCATTTTTTCTTGCAACGAACTTGAAACTGGGGCAACTATTTCATCGTGGTTTGCTCTCCAGCCGGTGGGGTTGTGAGAAAATGAAGTGCTTCGGCGAAGACGAAGGTGAACTTGCGGGATCTGGAAATGAGGAGCTCGTGGAAAAATGCGATTCGCTGGCAGCTATCAAAAGTTTCACGGACGCACTTGCGACAAGACACGAAACAGCGACTGTAAAGAAAACGTCTCAGAAGATTTCGTTGACTGGCTGGTAAGTCTCTTTCTTGCACCTTTAATAGTTCAATGTGCTAGAAGTTTAGAAATCATCTAAATTTCGCAATTTTCAGAACTGCCTTACAGTTGTCAATATTAATATAATCTTGTACTATTACTTTTACAACTACTTTTCACGAGCGTCTCAGAGTTTATATATTGAAAATTGTAGTAATATTTTTATTGCATCACCACTTTTTATGATTTCTCGTACAGCACATCTTGTGCGTATACTTCTGTATTGTTATTTGAATGATCAATGATTCAATTGGTAATAAAACTAAAAGAAGCGAACTAACGAAGGGTTCATAAAATTTGTATCACCGCGAATAAATAATGTCCCGTAAAGTGGGCTCCATTTAACCTAAAGTCCCCACGCCGCATTACGCAGTTAGGCGAGTTAGCGGGAATGACAGAAGAAAATAATTTGAAGCTTTGTTTTTGACAATGAAATAGATATGATTTATGGAGGCCGAGCGTTGCGACGACGGCGGTGAATGGTGAAGTGCCCTCCTTTTTAAGATTATTGAAGATAATTTGATTCAAGGGCACGACATCCCACCTTGACACCATTTCACATCCGATAGTGTGAGATTAAATATATTACTTTCGAGAAAGAGAGAGAGAGAGAGAGAGAGAGAGAGAGAGAGAGAGAGAAATATCGTAAAGAGAGATTGTTACATAATATCATAAAATATTGTATTTCCTATAACATGATGTGATGTTTGAGCTATCACTGTTGTGTTTCGCAACTGTGATGATACAACTGTGACATAATAATATTAATTAATGTGGATAAAAAGATTTGTGACATACACGTATAATTTAAACAAAAACAATAAAAATTGTAACTATATGCTACATTTATCAAAATTTTGTTCATATTTTTATATTTTTTATTCAACATGATTTCAAGTTTATATCCTCGCGCCAAATCGTCGCGTTTTCCAGCACAGCGATGACACGGTAAATCCGTATGGCGTTTATTTTTATGGTCGCGGGACACCGAGCATGTTCGGTCGAAATACAGGAAGATGCCACCTTCGAAGGAGTTGAACGATACGCGTGGGTGATGCTGACGAGGGGATTTCCTGAAAACAAAAAGAAAAAAAAGAACGAAAAATAAGAAGCGTACGAACGCCCGGCCCAAAGCCGACGTTCTCAACGACGTCTGCGGGGATCCGGTTCACTATTTCTTATCGACGGACTATAAAAAGCGGGAGATCATTGAGACGGTGTGAGTACCTGTTTTACGTGCGCCGAAGACATAAATTCCGGGGTTACGATGTACAAAATGCTTAACCTTTCTTGCCGAGGGTGTCGTCTGCGGGACATAAAATCCGAGGGTAAATCTGGGTAATTTCTAAGACAGATTGAAAATAAGCGAGGTACACCGTTATCAGTCATCGCGTAATTGCTTTCAACTACAAATATTAAAGTTCAAGTTGATATCTGCGATTTCACAAATGGCGCCTACGCCTTTCATTGCCTTTAATCCCGGCGCGTAAAATCTTTCCCAGCAGGAAGTAATTTTCCGCAAACGTGGGGCTTTTAGATCTTTTTTTATATTTAATTGCGGACCCCAAACTCTCGAGGCGCTATTCATCGTAGGCACTTTTGACGTCATTCGGCGGTTGGTTTCATTAACCGCAGTGCTCTAGCGAGTTTCAAGTAGAGCTCTCTAACTATTTAAAGCGGGCGACGTTGGAGCGAAGTAGAAATTAGGTGAAGAAAAGTAGATTATACGTGCAGCTGCACGATTATGCGTACTCAAAGACGATCAGCTTCATCCGTATATTCTATAAGTAAACCGGAATCGATTTTTCGTCAAGAGTTGAATAATGCTGTAGATCTTGTGCGTCTCATACTTTGTCTAATCTCAAAACTTGTACACGTCGCTTGTGCTCACTTTACCGAAACTGTTTCATTTAATCGTTACGTCGTTACGTTAGCTCGTTAGCCACGAACTCCGAATTTCGTCAGACGCCCTCCCGCTGGCTTCCGGCAGAGATTCTTAATTAAGTTGCAGATAACTTTAGAACGAGATTCTTATCTGCTTTAGCGACTTTATTAGAATGGGAGCTAGAATTAATTTACTATTTTCTAAGCAGTTGCAGCTCTCAACATCTTATCCCATTTATATTCTACTTTTACTGTATTATTTTGTGTATATATTTTACACAAAAGCTGTCTAATATTTTAATATATATAATTTATATATAATTTTTCACAAGAATCGTCTCTCTCTCTTTCTCTCTATAGATTTTATCAATCATTGTTCTGACACGTTTATTGAAAGACGTACGAGACTTTTGACTTTGAACGAGCAGGGCCGCTGGCACTGTGCTGCTTTTGACGCGTTAAAAGTTATACGACCCGTGAAGTTCTAACTCGTAAATTGCGCGACGGATGACACTTCTTTTCTTCGCGGGACAGAAGGAACGATCGCGAGTTGCGCACGAACAGAATTATACTGTCATTCGCGAGCCGTACGAAGACGAGATCCATCTTCCGAGACCCGCTGGCGCCCCTTGTATCTTGTTAAAAGTTTACGGCTGAGAATGAGAAGTAGCGTCATAGCGCAGATGTACTGGTTTTATGTAATACGCCGCGGGGACGAGTGAGTTATGGTCTTCTGGAAAAGATTGCGCTATTCGCTGATCGTTTCCGTTTTTGTTGTCAGATATAACGTGTGTCATATCGAAAAATATCTTAAGGATCAAGAGACACGGTAGTGTCTCGCGCCAAGTTCACGCGCAGCGCAAGACCGACCGTGTATCTTTACGCGAGCCCGAAAGTTGAGACGAGCCGAGATTATCGGATCTCAATAACGGCTGGGCCGATTGAGTTGTTGTTAGGCTCAATCGATAGCGCATACCCAAA